TGGATTTTAATTAGACATGAACTACCAGCCAGAGAGAGGTTCTTATTACTTAAGGTAGCAACCCAGCCACTGAGATAATGACCATGTAGAGAGTTACAACAGGCTAAGATGCGATGATTTTGGCAAAAGTCACGATATACCTCATCTACCCTCGGACATTCATGAGAGGGAAAGAGTATTATGGCCCCCGTGAGTTGTGCTGCTCACTTTCCCTTCAAGAAGAAACAGGTTGTTCAAAGGCAAGTCAGCTGGCAGCCTCCTGCAGAAGGCATATGAATGTGTGATGAATGAATCCCTGATTCTCTGATACGTGTACTAGAGACAGACACTAACATGGAAAGAGGGCCTGTAAGCTTTAAAGCCCCCTTCTGCCTGGGCCATCCCCAGCCAGTGATGACGGGGTGAGGGCACTGGTACCGGCTCATTCCTGCCCTAGAGGACTCCTTCTTCCATCTGGAGCTCACTGTGGATTAGCTCAGACTTTGTCAAATCTCTAATACGGACAGAGGCTGTCGCTGCTCAATCCCGCTTCCTCCATTTGCCTCTCTGTTTCTTCCCTTTCTTTTCATTGGTGTCAGAACGTATCACAAATACAGGCTTCCCCACCCCTTTCTGCCTCCTTTTCATTTAATTATTCACAGACACTGCTTCTCTGGGAACTTGAGACACTCTGGACTTCGTGTTCTAACATCTCCTTTCTGAAGGACCCGTCTGACGCATGAATGCTGTAACATGAATATGTGTAGGGAAGTGGATTTCAAGCAAAACCTGTCATAACCCTGATATTTGCTGTTATCCTTTCCTGTGTCTGAGGCCAAAACTTTCCTATCTGCTGGTATTGTCCTGGCAATAGGGTTACATGTGGGGTTTCTGACAGACTTTGAGAATTGTGCATCCCAGTCAAATACGCTGAACATTTATACTGGAGTGGAAAGGGCCCACTGCCACGTTCCTTCTTTTTCTCTTTTGAGTCTTCTGTTCTGTCCTCACTTATGTGGTGGTGTGCCTGCGACTCTCTCCTCCCCTCTTTCCTTTTCTCTCTTTTCTGCATCTGTCCGCTCTACGCCCTTCTCACAATCGCCTTTTAAAGACTCTCACTGGTGCCTCATGTCAGTATCCACACTACCACATCAAAGCAGAGCTTCTCCAACTTTGCAACTGCTGTTGATAGTTTGGCTGGACATTTTTGTTTAAAGTGTCCCACACTAGAATTAGCACACTGATTCTTTTACAGCTAAACCCATTACATTACCTTATGAAAGATGTTTACTCAGTCAAACAGGTAACAGCTCTAGAAATCAATCCAGATTTCTTGCTCTCCCTAAACCCCAAATAAATTTGGTTACAATGTCATCTTGATTCCACCTTGTACATTCTGGTGAGATCCATTACCTCTGCTCTCCCTTTCAAAAAGATACTACGTAAGTGTTGATGATGAGGGTAAAAGTGTTCATAAGTTTTATAGTGTATTAGAAATTAGTAGACATAAGCAAAAAAAAAAAAAGAGGAAAAAACTACAAGGACAGGAGATGAAAACAGGTCAGCAGGCATCTGTAAGATGTAATGAAGAAGTTGATACTTAGTTCTGTCTCATTTTGACCACAGAAGCATAACATGAGTGGCCCACACACATGGTAGAAAACCAAATAAATATAATATTATCCATAAAGCACAGGTGTCAAGAAAGGTTTCTTAAGGCTCCCCAAACTGTTCACGATGATGGGGTTAATGAAAGAGACCAGAATTGTTGCTCTCATGTGGCCCTGGGTATTTTAGCACTGTGTGCCCACGTCTCTGAATACACCAGGCAGGAGCTTTGCTGTAGGAGAGATAGGATCCAAATGAGAGGCTCCTGACTTTGGATAAATATGTAAATAAGAAACCCGTGTACTTGAGAATGTTCAGGATATTGTTTGTGATTTGCTTTTCTATTGTAGACATTATCTCTGTCATTGTAAATAAATTAATATAATAAGTTTGTACAATTTGCTAACATATAATTTGTATGTTAGCATTGTTGCAACCACACATTTTGATCTTGGGAATGGAATACTCCTCTTTTTGATAGTATTGAAAATACATGAATTTTGGCGGATGCCTTACCAAAAAAAAATAAGCTGGGGTGTCAAGACTCATTTCATACATGGTAAAGAGTTAATAGACGACAGTGTTGTTAGACTGACTTTATAAAGCTGTGCTACTTTGCTTACACCAAAGGCAAAGAGGCATGAGCTCGCATTAAACTGGTGATTGACTCGTCCTATGACATTTCAACGATAACACCTTTGCTCTTGGATGGATTGTCCAGGGAGGAGGATGAGTAGTGCCTTGGGGAATTTTAATTTCTTACTTCGTTATCTGGTATTTATTAACCGGGTTTGGGAATAAACAGTGCCTGTAGCCAGTTCTGTGAAGGGGCAAGAGAATCCTAATCAGGTTTTGCTGGGATTGATTTGAGGCACGAAGGCGTTGGCATTTTTTCTCCAGCCTTACCTCCTCCATCTGATCCAACAAAATGCTGCCTGGGTGATCATTCCAAAGCATAAATGCGGTGATAGACTTTCCCAGGCCCAAAGTCTTTTGTGATTTTCCAGTGCTTTAAGATAAACTCCACATTTCTGACACCACATGAAGACCTTCCTGATATGACCTTCCCACTTTTTAGACCGCGGCAATTTCTGTGCTAGGCACACATTCCTGCTCTGGCTTTGTTTGTGCTGTGCCCTTGGGAACGCTGACCCTGTCCTCCCGCTTCCTCTTCAGCACCTGGCAGCCCCGAAGCTTTTCAGCAGTCTCCATGGGTCTCACAGTTTGGATCATGTGTATTGAACACAGGCCTTGTCACTACAAGGTGGTGTGGTTGTAATTGCTCCTGCATTTTATCGCCCTAGTCTACTAGGCCTGTACTTCTCCATGGTTTGGTTTAGTATATTCAGCTCTTACCTCCGTGTGTGCAGTATAATACGTACTCCACGAATGGAGAGATAGGTGAATGGGTGAACAAGTGGGAGGACCCCTAGGTACTAGGGAGCTACACTTGTGTATGTGAATAGGCAGGGTACCTGTTTCACCCTCACCCAACCCTATTTTTATTAGTCCTCAGTTGATCTCCAGTCAGAAGATACTCTGAAGAATGCTGCTTGGATTTTCTCCTCAACATTTAAATCTGAACATGTCAAAACTTTACAGTGCATGTTAAAAGAGTTAAAAATTGCCCTTGAGTCCTCACATTATAAATTACAATTTTACTTTCTAATCTTCCCTGATGTAACGTATCTGTACTTTCTCAGCCATTCCCGACCGGATGCTCCATGGCTCAGCCATACTAAATGCTTTAGTATTTCCAAAACATATTCACTCATTCATTTGGTGACTCTCTTTTCTAAGATCTGCTCTAGTGCTGATGTATGATTTTAATCTGAGCATGGCTAATGACTTGCTGTATAAATTTGATAAAAACCTTAACCTTTATCTTCATTTTTCTGACATTTTAAAGTGATTTACCTGGATAAGAAGTGAAAGAATTCATGTGGAAGCTCTTAAGAAAATGAAATCCTAAGAAATGCAAAATTGGAAGTTGGGGCCCAGATTCCTTTTTAAAATTTGAAAAGCCTCATTCTCTTTTAGTCCAGGAGGTGGCACTTTTACCTACAAAGCTCCTTTAAAAACTGTATGTGGGCTCTTATGAATTCCATTCAAATCCCCTTTGTGCAAGAAAGCCACACCCATGATTCTGTCTGAAGCCTGCTTTTCACTCAGACTTAATCAATGCTACTTTGGGTGTGGTAGGCTGCCCGGGGACAGCCTAGACTTTATCAATGCTGCTTGGGGTGTGTTAGGCTGCCTGGGCACAGTCCTAACCATCTCTGAAGTCTTGTATGTAGCTGAAAGAATCTTTCAGCATCATTGAAATTGTCTGAAGTGTTCTCACAAGGAGACTTACACTAACATCTGCAATTTGAGGTTGGGGCTGTGTCTTTTCTGGACTTCACCATTCCCTAGTTTGATAATGTGGAGTAGAGAAGCAGTTGTATTTTATAGCACAATTCCTGGCCCCTCTAGATTCCTTCTCTTGTCTTTCAAGCTTCCTGGTTCTTTATTTAGCACACCTCTTCTTGTGGTACCTTATCATATGCAGGTATTAAGAGTCAGCTGACTGTTTAACAGTCAGACCAAAATCTCATTACTCATATCAAAGTTCACCGTGTCCATTGCTTATCTCCGAGTCACCTCAGGTGACAGCTTTACCACTTGCTTCTCTCTACACAGGCCATCATTTTTCCAGCCTTCTGTAGCCGCTCCATCAGGGCTATTCCAGATTCCATCTGCCGCTCAGTACCAAAGCCAAGACCACACGTGTTAGGTCGTTGTTATGGCACAACTGTGGCTCTTTTACTCTTAGCCTTCCAAGTTTTTCTCACCTCACTCAAGCAAGGTAGATTGAACTCATTCTTGTGGCAGTGGCAGGGTTCTAAGGGAGAAAAACATTTTCTTTATCGATCTCTACTGGCTTCACGCCTAGCATCCTACTGGCCAAAGGAAGTCACGTGGGCAAGCCCAGATTCTGGGGATCTAGAAATAAACTCCACCCAGTTAGTGAAGGAAACTGCAAAGTTAAAGCTCCTAGTGTGTGGATATGGAGAGGGTCTTTATTAGAATAATTAATGAAGCCAACCTTCCACAGATATTAACATTAATAGGTTTTAGCAAAGTAGACATTTCATTTGAATGTAATGAAAGAACTTCACCTGTATTAAAAGTTTTCAGATGGAGAGTTTGAACTCCAAAGTTTAATTTTTACCATGTTGCTGACTACTTTTTAAATGTACATGATTTCAAATGGGTCTTCCAAATCTAATATGCAGATGGCAAGATGAATAGTAAAGCTACTTTGCCAAGGAAACATCAGTGGGGTTTGTGAACTGGTACATTTCAATGCCTAAGACAAAAAGCAAACAAACAAACCAACAGATGTCAACCTCTGTTTCCTCATTCCTCAGGTGATGTTTGTGATCCCAACCCCTGTGAACACGGAGGGGTCTGTTTGCCAGGACTGGGTGGGGCTTCCTTTTCCTGCGACTGTCCAGATGGCTTCACAGATCCCAACTGTTCTAGTGTTGTGGAGGTTGGTAAGTGCAAGATTTAAGCATTTCAGTAATTACCCTCTTAATTCGTTTATGAGTGACTGAAAAATTTGGCTATGTTACATTATGGAGAGTCTGTGTAACATTAATATATCTTGTTAACCAGTTTACTCTTCTGTAGGAGGAGTAAACTCAATTTAGTTATTTCTACTTTATATTTAAATTATATTTTTCATAATGGTATTCTTAAATAATTTTTTCCCACATTTTTGGTGATTAACACTAAAATGCATTACAAATAATCCTTAATTATAAAAAAAATCTTATATTTCGGGCAGCGCCTGTGGCTCAAAGGAGTAGGGCGCCAGCCCCAAATGCCAGAGGTGGTGAGTTCAAAACCAGCCCTGGCTGAAAATCATACACACAAAAAATCTTATATTTCTATTATTAATATAAATTTAAAATTTTAATCTCAAAAAAGTTCCCAAAACAATTTATTCAAGTTAAATAGTCACTGTAAATGAAATAGAATTTTTATTAGGGACTACTAATATCCATCAGTATTTGTAGCTGTCTAGTCATTTACTTTTCTAGGAATATAAATATACATTATATTTCTAGGTAAATAAAGGAGACAATATTCCAAGTGCAGTGCTTTAAGGTCTTTCCAACAGCTTTACATTGCAAAAATTATGTAGAGTCATTGATCACATTTCATTGTTTTTTAAACTATGAAATAATTAATACACAAGTGTTGCTATGGGTATGGCATTTAAATTTCCAAATAACTCTCCATTGAGGAAATGGCTGCACTTTGAAATAATTTAGTGTTATTTAAACTTGTCTGGAGATTTTTCTGTCTGATTAAAGGTAATATCATTATTAATTTTGACAAAATCGTTTGCTTTTTCACATAAGTACCAACAAGAATGTAAGGTGGACTATGTCTGTTCAATATTGGAAAATACAAGATGTTTTGTATTAAAGAAATGTCAACTAAGATAAACTGTGCAAAACTTGGATACTTCAAGGGCTTTTTGAAAATAGTTTTGAAGGAGAAAAGCAATAGTACCTATAATGAGGGATCAGTTCCAGTTACCCATCCTTGAATCTAACACACCTAACCTAACACCTTGTACATAAAAAGTGCCCAATAAAACTGTTGGTTGAGCGATTGAAAAAATAATTAAGTATGGCTATTAACTTACCATCTTTGGTCACTAGTTATTAGATTTTAGTGTATTTTATTTTTTAAATGTATTTTATTTGTATTTTTTACATTAGCTCAGTGCATGTGTGTTACCTGAAAAACTTAATTGCATTATTGTTGAAAGGTACTTTGTTCATTTAATTCCACTTCAAAAATATTCAAAAATATTCTCCTTTAAGGGTTTTATTAACTCACTGACATTTTATGGGGGTTGTCACAGTGCCAAAGGAATAAAACTGTTATAACCACTTTGACCCAGTCTTCAAATATGTATAGTGAGTTTAATATGAGAATCTTATCCTCAAGAAAGTCTATATATCTAAAGAAAATTATTTCTAACAGGAATGTATGAATAGATAAAAATTTAGTGCTGTATTTTAATCCCACCAGCTTCAAATTGGCAGTGCCTTACATTTGTAGCATATAATGCTTTTGTCGATACTTTGAAAGAGCCAAGTCTAGATTCAAAGAGACAGATGTATTTAAATAAGACACCAGTATCTTCACAAAATATTAATCAAAATACTTGAATACTTCTGGACCTTATTTGCAGATCTCAATATTCAGAGTGATACCATGGGCAGCACACTTTACAAAGTAAACACACTGCTGTCTTCCACTTACTTCAGGGACACTCAGGGGACTCAGATGTTTCTGGAATTAAATTGTACTCAGATTCATTATTACTTACTTTAAAACACCCCTGTTACTCAGAAATTGAAGTTACACTGTATCATTTTAAGTTATATGCGTTTACCATACGTTTTACGCAACCTTACTCCATGAGGTGTATGGGAAGAGTTCTTGGAAGGAACATGTCCAGTTTGTATTTGCTCAGTCACTTCACATGGTGCGTTGGTTATTATACAGTTCTGATTTCATGTACTTGCACTGTAATAGTAGAATAATAGAAAACAAATGCCCTGAAGGTTTAAAATGTTCATCGTTTCTTAAGTATAACTTTGTTGTAGTGTGAAATACTTTTTTTAAAGGGTTAGAAAATATGGGGTAAACAAACACAAGTTTCAGGTTAGATACCTCCTAGAGGCTAAGGAGGTTAGATACCTCCTTGCCTTTCTGTTACTTCTTTCTCAAATTTATATCATTTTACATATTGAAGGAATAGTAAATATTAATTGAATAAAAATACTTTGTAGCAATGCCATTAACATCTATTCTACATAAGGTTTTTGTGTAATTTTAGAACTAACTCTGCCTTTTTCATTAAAAAATGATCAGTTTACTGAGACATTTTAGCTGTGTTTCGAGGCTGCTAGATAGGCGAATGCAGAAAACATAATGTATTGAAATTTATACCAGAAAAAAATCCTGAAAAAAAAAACTATGAATATTTTAAGATAATATCTTAAAAAGGCAAAAGAAAATTCAAGCTGTCCCATTGATGTGTTTTTACCTACTCATTAATCTCCACAAAGATAGAGATATGTGTAAGATTTCTCCTACTTTTTGAGCCATATAAACTTTGAGCTGTATAAATTATGAAATATTCTAAATCTCCTTATTGTTAATTTCTAAAGGAAAGAAGAGTTTTAATTTCAATGTCAGTTTTTAAAATGTTTAACTCGCTCATTCTACAATCACACATACACTCACTCCATGAGTGAGTTTTTAAAATGTTTAACTCGCTCATTCTACAATCACACATACACTCACTCTTCTTGAAAGGAAAATTTTAAATGCATGCTTAGAAGAAACCCTACATGATTTTATCACAGTACATATTACTTTGCTTAGTCTTGTTTGAGGTTCTTGTTGCAACTTACTTTAAAAGATCCTCATCCGATTTTCTACTTTATATATATTCTTCCCTTACAAAGTCTATAGTGTCAGATAAGCACAAAACACATAACCAACTTCCAGTCAGTCCTCATGTCACTTACGTTCCTGTTATCAAGTGTGGCAGCTTGGCAAAATCGACTTGCTCAGGTTTGTTAATTTCATCCACTAGACAACATTGCTTTCCTTTTTGTTTTAATACTTCTGTGAGCTCCAGTATTTTCTTTCTTTCTCTCTCTCCCCACCCCGCTCTCCCCCACTTTCTCCCTCTCCCCCTTTTCTTTCTAGTCCCACACATACATAAGTACAAATTTCAATGTGCTCATCCCCTTAGAGTTATTTTAAGACTTACTTCTTGTATCTACAAAGGTAGTAGGAACACTTTCCTCCAAACAAAGCATAGAGAAAGCCCCTAATTTACATTCTTCAATTTGAAGACATTAGCCAGATTAACCAGTGTTTGCACAGATGTATACTGAGGGCTGTCTCTATCTCCAGGGGAATGGTGGACAGAACAGCATGAGGCTGAGCCCCAAATTATTCCCCAGTTACCCACTCATGTTCCTGGATGGCGATGTGTAATTTGGGTTGAATGTTGACACATTCATTTCATGCAGAACATTTCTATTACCAATAAGTGTTCCACAGTTCATAAATGGAACTCTTGAGAATTAATAACTTGCCCAAATTCTGTTGTATTATGCTCCTCTGTATGTTATCAGAATAATCCAATAAACTAGTAACAAATATAAACCTCTATGATTTAAATATATAGCATATTAATTCAATCAAAAAGAACAAAATAAGTGATTGACCTTTTTTAAAAAAATAAAATGTTAGTTTTCATTCATTCTTGAACAGATGTTTACTGAGTACATACAAAGTAATGGTTACTTGCATAGTGAAAGTGCAGTGGTAAGTAAATTTACAGAAATTGCTATCCAGTTGGGAAAGCAGATAAATATATAAGTAGGTACATAGGTAGATAGGCACACAGACACACATGATGGGCAGTGAGATAGCAGAAATATATAGGCCCCTAAAAATATAAAGTAGGTTTCTTATCTTAAGCTAAGTGCTAGGGAATGCATGGCTACTTGAAAAAATAATATCTAGTCATAATCTAAAAAAAAAAAATCTAATCTAACAGATTTTTTAAAAGCTGAAAGTATTGCAGACAGAAGAAGTAATGTACAGATAGAAAGATATTAGGAGACAAGAAAAATCATAACACTGTCAGATGTGGAGAGACATGGTGGCCAGCACAGCGTCGAGGACGGTGCAAGGGCGAGACCCTACAGAGTTTTGCATGGTGTTTTAAGGAATTTGAATTTTAAACAAACAACAGCAGAGAGCATTTATATTTCTAATGCAATATGGAAAACCAATCAAACAGAGCACAACATGGAGAATCTGAAGGATTAGAGTAGAATGGGCTCGACATGATGATGTAGTGAGTGAGGCGATAAAGAGGTGAGTCCTTGAGTATTTGGAGGGTGCAGTAGACAAAGATGGGGTATTGATAAAAAGGAGTTTGGAGAACGGCGGAGTAAGGAAGAATCATCTCCCATTTTCTGACCTGAGCAACTGGGAGTCATTTAGTGAGATATTGTAAATTGAGAATACACGGCATTGGGAGGCAGGAAGAGAGTTTGGTATTTCATGTGTAAATTCGAGGAATTTGCTAGACATTATCAAGAAGTCCACTATAAATTTGGAAGTCATAAGTATACAGATGGTTACTGAAGCTCAGAGAGTGGCTAAATTTGCCCAGAAAGAGGAAAATAACAAAGAATAGAGGCCCTAGAAATGTAAAAGAATAGAGGATTTAGAAATGGAAAAGCTGGTAAGAGGACTGCCCACATCACAAAATCCCAAAACCAGAGATGCTGGCGTGGACGTGGAGAAAAGGGAACACTTCTACATTGCTGGTGGGAATGCAAACTAATATGTTCCTTTTGGAAAGATGTTTGGAGAACACTTAGAGAATTAAAAATAGACCTGCCATTTGATTCTATAAGTCCTCTATTAGGTATAT